AATGCAGTTGGCAAGGAAGTCTTCCAGAAATCATGGTCCAAGCACCAGAATGTCTATAAGAAGCATTGACATCATCTACCATGAAGTGGAAATGGGGCGTACAGTAGACCCGTGGTAATCCGACAAACGTTTTGCAAGGTGGTGTCGGATGATCGAATTTGTTGGACTATAGAGTACTGCCACCGACCCCTTGTAGTCTGGAACTTTTTTGAAAAGGAGTACCTTGTAATCTGACAAATTACATGCTTATAAAAATGGTAAGATCAAATCTATATGTACTACATAATATACGATATAGGACTTAGTGAATTAAACAACACAATAGATAGCATAGGGTTTATTATAAAATTAACGTTATTAACACTATAGCACTTGCAAAAAAATAATAACTAAACATATTGATGTCAATCAATTACATACAACATATGTAAGTACTGTATTTCCAAGATACTATGTATGATCTTAATTTGAAAATGGATAAACAAATAAATTTATGGTGCATGCAAATATTCATCAGTTTTCTTTTGTTTTACATTGGCTAAATGCAAGAGTAAGGCCTTGTCTCTCAGTCTACTCAGAAGTAAAAGTTCATTGTACGATGCACCATTCTCTTCAGCCCATTGAATACCGAGCCGCATATAAGCTTATTGGATTATAGGAGGTGCTGGATTACCGTGGGTCTACTGTACAACTTATGTGTCTTGTATGCAATGCCGTACATAACTAATGTTATTACAAATTTTCCTTGCACGATAGCTTTTTGGAGTCTGTACTTAAGGGATTCAGGATAAAAACAGCCTATTCCGATTTTACTTGAAATTGAGATGGCAATTGCAATATATTCTGGTGTCAACTAGGATCATTTCATATGCTTACACAGAGATGTGCAAGTTGTGTGATATTTGTCAATTGTTTCTGGACTTTAAATACACTTTTGTCAAAACTGTGCTCGAGTGAGCAAGGATGTAGCCAAATGGGGTGGAAAGGGATGGCATTTCCCACACTAATGCTCTTCCATCCTTCATTCTCTGCCAACCTCCACTGCTACCCCCATACAAGTTTAAAAGTAAACATGTAAAAAAGTTACAAAGCAGTCGACCACTGGATGAAACAGAAAACAGGTACATCAGGCTCAAATACTAGGCTACTTGATTAGTTGTGAGGTAAAGAAAAATAAAATTTAATATTTGTTGTTGTTCTGCTATTTATTTGTTTTTATTGAGCATTGTTGCACATTCCTGATTTACATATAACATGCAAGGAGTTGCCTTACCAATATGGCAGCTCCTTCCACAATCAGTGCCGGCCCTACCATAGGGCGAATGGAGCAGCTGCTCCAGGCGCTAAGTCCTAGTGGGCACCTCAGTGGTAAAGAAAATTAAAGGGTATAAATTAGGGGCAACCAAGGGGGCACCATAATAGGATCTTGCTCCATCCTCGGGTCGGCACTATACACAATAATACATTGCTAGTGATCTTGGGGCTATTGTGTTTTTTATATACTCTACCCTACTTATACTATGTCTACACAAGCTATCAGCAATGTGGGTGACCCACACACAGAAATTTCTAGTTAGGATCTAGAAATCCCCATTGAGATATGCTGTTTTTATCCCAAGTCATTTATTAATTAATATGACAACTTGTTAGGATTGTCAATGAAAAAAACAAATGATAAAATCTAAATTTAAGGATAAAATTTACTGCATGGAATATAAACAAGTATCTTGAAGTTTTAAATTAATAATAAAATCAATCAAAGCTGATCATGCTTGATAAATTTTTTGTAGTTACTACTAATAAAAAGTGATAGTTTTAAAATTTTTTAAATAGAAAGTGTGACATCATTTTTATACTTCTATACGTTTTTTTTTTTTTTTTAGTTTTTAACTCTCTCTGCCTTGTGGACACTAATAGGATCTTTTTCCCTATTGTGAATACAACTGGGTCCATATCTGGATAGGTAGTGTGGAATGGGACCAGACATTATCTGGAACAAACTTCATGTGGAAAATTTCCGAGACAGATCCGTATCCCCAGAGTGGCGGGCAGACACCTTTACTGCCATCTTCTGTATCATGTTGCATCTGTTTAAATTTAGAATATCATGAATGCCTCAATAATTAAAACTTTGTATTTTAATTAGGATACAATGTGTGCTTATTATATAAAATATTTTCAAAGTTATATAATTATGACTTGCTATATAGGGGAGAACTTTTAACGTCATCTTTTATAAATAATGTTTTTTGTCTTAATAGTAATCTAGCCTCATTCCACTTGAAATGAAAACCAATATGAAAACTTCCAAGTTAACTTAGTCAGCATTGTATCTTTTCTACTGTTACTAATGCCCTTACATTTCTTCAATTCTTAATTGCCTCCTTGTTACTTCTGCTATAGCAGTTTCTGGACAAGGCTTCTTTAAGAGTTTTATATATATGCATGAGGCAGAGGTGTATATATATATATATATACACCTCTGCCTTTTCATCTTCTTCCCTTGCATCTCTGTCATCTTAAAAGTAGAGAGGGTAAATATGGGTTTTGGAGTCTAAATTTTAATATTTAAACAATAAGATCAGGTATGCATTATTTCCCCAAGCTAAATTACTTCCAAGGAGACTTGGTGTTCAATTTGCATTGACACTGTTAATTTTATAGGTCAGCTAATTTATTAAGGTTACCACGATATTTCCATTAAAAATATTCCTGTTATTTCACTCTTTATGTTATGCAGGATTTTCACAAATGATAGAGAACTGTGGGAAGATAAGAGTGGGTTGTATGCCATTCATTTAAAGAAGCCTAGTTTGGAAACACTGTCTATACAGGAGCAATGAGGAGGAATTGATTGAAGAAACATAAAGGCATTATTAGTAGCAGAAAAGATGCAATGTTGACTGAGATAACTTTAAATAAAAACTACTAGGATGAAAGGTTCTGAATGGAACTGAGCTAAAATGCTATTTTTTCCATGAGAAGCTAAACTTTTAACAATGTAACATTACAGTAGTATGAAGCTTAGATTGGGTGCATGCTGTATCTTTTAGGTTGAAGTACACTTACAAGTTAGCCTACTGGCCCCATGTATAAATTTAAGAAGCTTAGTTAATACAGGGTCTTTCAAAATGAATGCTACATTTTTAATTATTGTAATTATTATCCAATAGAGCCTGAGTTTTATCTCCCATCTGCATTCAAACATCTTGTCTACCACCTCTACAAAGTGCCATAGAGAAGGCATTTTGTGTTCTGCAATTCACAAAATTGGAATCACTCGTCATCGTGCAACATGTGTAATCTGCAGGAGCTGCAGAATTGTGGCTACTATGGGAGGAGTGAGTGACAACAGATATGCCGTAGAGAGAATAGGAAGAATTTGAGTATCGGTCAAAAGTGTGTCACATCACACGAGGTGCAAGTATTGAGAAATTGTAACCGGAAATACAAAACTTTGGATGATTTTTTAATAATTTTTTGGATAATAATTAACACAATTTGGATAATTTTAAATAGTAGAATTCTTTTTGGAAGACCCTGTATAGCATAGATTTAATATTTCAATTAAAATTGTTAATAATAATAAACTTGCCTAAGAAGATTACTGTGATATTACCATGTGAACATTTTACTTAGCAATTATCTTCAATTTATTGCCGTAAAATTTTTCACTAGCAATTGATATGCTATGAAAATTTTGGAACAAAGCAAAACTCTAAATTCAGAGCTTTGAATTAAAATTTTTCGGTTCCTTTTCCCGTGCTAGACATGGATGCAGTATTAGCTTTCGGTTCCAAAATTTTTAAGCATCATATTGTGCAACGTGAAAGGATCCTCTTGAAAAGTATTGCAAGACAATCTCTAGTATTTTGTTTTCTCTGATTGCGCAGATGTTTTTTCAAAATTGCTATTGAACTTGAACTTGAAAACAGTAAGACAACTAGTCCACCAGGGAGAGATGATCAATTCAAAAATTGTGTCAGGTAAAGAAACCAGTTTAGCTACATTTCTAGATGGTGACACACTTGGATCTATTTTATAAATGGTAAAGTATTTTCCTGGAAACAAATAACATCAAAATTCTCAAGATTCTTATTATTAGTATTATTAAATTTTATTTCTTCCTGATTCTTATTATTTTGAACTATATTACTATTTACAAAAAGAACCATTTTTTTTTTTTTTTTTGTAAACTTTAATAATTGATGGTAAAATTACAGTCGATTCGAAATAATTAAGAGCAGTTCATATGGCGATACTTATAAGCAATGATACTGCAGGCATTCTTTAAGAAAATAAAGTTTTAAATTAATTTTATCCTTGTTAAGGAGGCTTATTGGACTTATAAATTTAATACTTTCTATTAACTGATGACCGTAGTCAACTTTGTAAAATTAGTACTTATGACAGTGACAATGTGATTGTCACTAGTACTTAACATTAATTTTATGTTTAATACGGAGATTAAATTAATAAACTTTGCGACAAATAAATTAAATTTAGTTAATATTTAATAATTGTTTTGCTCTAGACTCTTATTCTTATCTCGTGTCTTATTTTCAAAGCATAATTTTATCTAATTATTTCCTTATTTACTTATGCAAAAAAAGGTGGATTACTTTTGTCTACGAATCGTATTAGATCAAATTATCCAAACATAATAATGATTTTGGGTCATCATTTTTGTAATATATTTCTTTGAAGATATCAAATTTAGGTTAGTTGACTACATAGACAAATGTTAATCTTGACCTTCTGCCTTAAGGAAAACTGAAGCAGGTTAACTTTAACTGTGACAAAGTGCATTGATCTGTAGATGATAAGAAATTTTTTTTTTTTTCTGAAGCATTTAATAATTTTTAAGCTTTTTAATTCAAAGCTTTCTCCTTTTTAATGTTATGACAGAGAGTTCATCTTTATAAATTAATTTTATAATCAGTTATATTATGTTAACTTGGCTTGTAAGATATTAAAATTGAATTTACAATTTACTGTAGGAACTATGGACGAACAGGCCGGAATTGGATCAGATTTCCAGATACTATTTCGACGGCCGTGGAAAAGCATTCCGACCGATAGTGGTCATGCTTGTGGCAAGAGTATTAAATTTCCACATGTTTCATTCCAATATGTAAGTAAAATATCTTGGTTACCATGATCTTTTAATAATTAACATTAAAAATGAATAGTTTTAGCGTTATCTGAGGGATAAAAATCAAATTTCCATTAATGTAGCCTTCCATAAATGTATAATTTAAATTTCAAAATATTGGTATTTAATATAGGTTGCTATATAATTATATTGTGCCATATATATGCATAGGGTAATTCAAAATTCTCCATACATATTTACAGAGTTTGCCTTGTTATGAAGTTGTAAATGATACAGAGCAACATTTAACCAAATGCGCATGCAAATGCTTTCCTCTCCTCATGGTGCATGCGTGACAATAGATATGATGTTATATGCACACGAGTGGCAAGTGTCCCTTTGGGTAGTTTGCATTTTATAAGTAGACTTTCAAAACATCTTGTGTAATGTAAAGACATTAAAGATAAACTTCAGAATTGTAAATTGAATATTGACATTTGATGAAGGTGAAGAAAGGAGATTATTTATGTGGAAAATAATTGATAAACTATGCATGATGAAGCGTGTAGAGATTACAACACGTAGCGGAACAGTTATTACAACTATTATGTGTTTTTATCAGTAAACATATTTTATCCTCCTAGTAAATGTCAAATGACATCAAAATCACATAACTATTGCCATTTCAATTGTGTTTTGACAGAGTGAATATTATTTTAGTAGGTCATGCATAAGGTTTGAATTTTTTATATGCATATGAAGTTTTTTATATCGTAAGTTATTGCATCTTACATAATATTTGATTTGTAAACAATAATAGGGACTTGTGCTTTAACGAAATACAATTTTAAAGATATGTGAAATGATTAAAATATGATAAACTCCAAATATAATGATTGTAAACTTACAAAATCTTTACTTTTTCTATACTAATCCCGAGCTTTTAGTGTAGCTTTTGTAAGAGCAAATGTACGGATGGACTTGAAAAATAAAACTAGTTCAAAGCTTGCGAACGGTTTTAAGTTAATTTAGAAGAAATAACAGTAAATACAGACAAGCATGAATGAAAAAATAAATTATAAGAAGTTATGAATCTTTACAAGGAAATTTATCGAGCCGTAATTTTTGATTTGACCTTAACCTATAGACTATCGACATGCTGTTGACCCAATTTGATTATTGTATTTTAGAATTAGCTGGACTTGATGGGAGTTGTTATTATTATTTTATTTTATTTTTATTTCTTTGGCTATAAAAAGTCAGACACTTGATACAATACTAATTGAATATAGATTTTTTTTTTTTGGTTGCAAGTTAGGGATTCTACAAAACAAAGTTTCTGTAGATTATTAAAGAATAGCCAAGGGTTACTTCATATGAAAAAATAAATCTAAATCCAAGCCAGGATTAATAATCATACTGTATAATTACATGCAAATATTATAACTTCCAATTGAGTGCAGCTTATATTTATTGGAGCATGAAATCTTTCTAATTAAGAGAGCTTTTGTTATACAAAAGTCTCGGACATATGTGCAATCAAAGGCATCGTAAACTAGTATGAACTAATGATTTCAAAAGCATTTTAATTACGTGGATGCAGATTAACTAGAAATTTCCTTGCCCAAAGATTAATTTATAGCCATTCCTATTGAATAATGAATTACTTTTTCTACTTAAAGCTGTAAAGATACTGCACTAAAGATGTGACGTAAACTCTAAGCAGAGTGAAATGAAGTTTTGACAAATAAAAACATTTATTCTCTTAATCAAATATTGAATAATGAACAAAATATAAATATTCTACTTGAACAAAGTTTTATTTTTAAAAATAACAAGAACAAAAATTAAAAATGTTCTTGGTTGATTAAAGTTTTCATAAAGGAATTTTAGAGCTGTCCGTTAGAGATTAATAAAGATAGTTAAGAAACCATCAAACTTATCTCAATATTAATAGCTGTTCCTTGTAAGACATCCAAGGAACTTCTTCTTTAGTATTTGTCTTCATTCTTATCATTTGAAACATGCGAACAACTTTCTAGCGGGACTGTTGAGTCAGTATGTGAAACTAACTCTGACTTTGGCTCCTCGATTTAAATCTCCAACTCCTTTGTAAAAGCTAAATATGTGGTGCCATTTGTCATTGTTTATATAAGACATTTTGTCATTGCCATTTGAAGCTTTAATCTACTTTTTAGATTTATAACCTATATTTAAGTATAAATCTATAGTTTAAGCATAAATTTAAGTTTATATTGAGATTGGAGTCTAGGTTTTTACAGATTTTGATTCAGTGACCCCAGTATCTAGTAAAGATTAAGAGAGTTTATATCAATAAATGATCAGCAGATGTGTTATAGAGAAGACAGGAATTTTATCCTTTTGCCATTAATTTTATGTGATTAATTTGTGATAATAATAATATAATGTGCAGTATAGAATTTGAGTTTTTTTGACAATTTTTAAACATATACAGTTTAAACATTGCTTTTTTTCAATAAAATTCATATTATTAAATGCTAACCTTTCTTGTTACTGTGTTACAGATTATTAGACAGTCAACGTAAGGTTGCTATGATAGCAGAAATGATACACATTGCCAGTTTAGTCCACGACGATGTGATCGACACGTCGGACACCCGAAGAGGAAAACCGAGTGTGAATCTTTTGTGGGGGCAGAAAAAGGTAGGGATAAGATCATTTTATATTATGTAACATTATATAAATTCTTTGATTAATAACTTATACAGGTTATATTTTTTAGGCTATTTTGACTGGAGATTTTATTTTAGCTCAAACAGCCAGACTTCTCGCTAGAATAGGAAGTGAAGATGTAATTATGTTTTTAGCTCAGGTTGGTTTATTTATTCATATTTAATTTAATGTTTCTAATTTGAATGCTTATTTTGTAGAAAATTTAAAATGGCGATTGTGAAATTTGATAGTAAAAGTCGACATTAACTGACTGAATGGGTCATATGTTCTAGAAAATGGGTTATAATAAAGTTTAGGTCAAAAGAGTTTGTTGTATTGCAGACATTATTGAGAATATTTTATATGTTTAGTTTTGTGACAATATTCTTTTCTGTGTATAAATAACATCGAAAAAATCCAACAACAAGTTGCATAACTTTTCCAGTAAAAATAATTTATGTTTAAACTAAGACATGTTAGCACAAAGTTAAAATTGTGTGTGGCACCATTCATTACAAGATGTCACTAAAAAATTTTTAAATTATTACTTAATTGGGGCCTCCTGCTCCTAAGCTTTGCATATCTGGTCTCGTCTTTCAGCTATCTAACTCTGTTCTCGAGATTAAGGGAGGACAGATAGAGGATGCCAGTGGGAATTTATAGGTATGTAGTTTGAAATATGCAGCCCAATTATTATAGAAAGGCAAAAGGCTCAATTTTGAGGGAAAAGTTTTTAAATTGTAAATGCCAATAACCAGTAAAATTTTAAGTTCAACCCTACTCAAGATATGACATGTGACCCCTTCTGTCTCCCCACTCCTTTGACTTCAACAACCAAAACTTAATAACATCAATGTCCCTTATATACAAATTACTGTCCCAAATGCATGCAAAGAGTTTTCTGGGTTTTCTGTGTGTGTCTAAATGCTTATCCCATCGTGTCTCGTATATTCTTGAGAATTTGTTAATTGCCTGTACAGTTTAAGGAGGGAAGGTTTGTAAAAAGTGTGTTACTGTACATGTTGGGGAAGAAGAGGTTGAAGCATTGTCTGCATGGGCTTTTTTTTTTTTAGTTGTATTAGTAGGTATGCACATTAGAATACTGCAGAGTTTACAAAATTTCTTTACAATAGAAATAAATAAAGCTTTGTGTTACTGTATGTAGATGATAAAATGCAAGTGACAATCACACTTTTAGGATATTATAAATTTGAATTTGAAGAAATGGAAGTTCGGAATAAAGAGAGATGCCAATTGGGATAAAGTTCTGAAAGAAGTAAACATAACAGAAAAAATCTAGCAACAAGAGTTGCGTAACTTTTCCGGCTATTGAGTTTTTATTAAAAAATCTTTTTGTGTTATTAAGCAAAAAATAAAATTGTGTAGCACCATCTGTTATCAGATTTTAAAAAGTTATATTTTTAATTACTATTAAATGGCAAAAAGCTTAGTTTTTCATAAAATTCACTCTACTCTCAAAGTTATGTAAATGTTAATAACAAATAAAATCTTCATTAAATCCTATCCCTCTCAAGATAAATCACCCTCCCCCATATTTCCTCAACCTCTTGACCTTTAACCATCAAAATTTAATATCATCAATATCCCTCGTATACAAACCAACGTGCCAAATATTGTTTCTTAATCTTTAACCCATCCTGAGATAGTAAGTGAAATAGACACCAACACACACACACAAACTGAATTTTTTTTTACTTTTTGGATTCAGGGGTTTCAAAACATGGAGATTTGCAAAAAAAACGAAGGGTCAAATTTGACACGATTCTCATACTTTCTTTTGTTATGCATACATAACAGTTGATAAAGCAAAATTAAAATAATCAATTAAAGATGGAGCAAACTAGAAATTAATTTCAATGTAAAAAATAATAGATATCACAAAATTTAAAACTTAAATCTCTATGTTTTTTACAATGTAATTAGATAATTATTATATAAACCATGACTTAAAATTTTTAATTGTTCAAACAACTAGAGCCAGATTACATTTGGGTTAATGTAAGGCTAATTAAGGAGTTTTGGCATAACTGGTAACATGTCTGCATGCTAAGTGAAAGTTATGGGTTTGAGACATGCACTGGGTCAATTTTATCTTCCAGGATCTTCTAAATTAAATTTAATTAATTCAAGTTTAATTTTTAATTATTAATTTTAATGCAATATTGTGGCCTAACCTTCAAGCCGATATATTCATTAATTACAAATTAATTCTGGCTCTGGTTTTTTGAATATGAAATTGGAGAAAAACATATCATAGCATTAGTTTAGAATAAAGAATAATATATTTGAACAATTCTAATAGTTTATGATTTTGTTTTAGGTATTGCATGATCTTATACAAGGTGAATTTATGCAATTAGGTTCTAAGGAAGATGAGACTGAAAGATTTTCTCATTATCTCCAAAAGACCTTCAAAAAAACTGCCAGCTTAATAGCTTATACATGTAAATCGGTAAGTAATATTTTAGACAGAGTGAGGAATACAGTTTTTAGTAAAATACAGGGTCTTCCAAAACAGAATTCTACTGTTTTAAATTATTGTAATCATGTTAATTATTATCTGAGAAAGTCATAATGTACATTAAATCATTGGAAAACTGTCAGAGTTTCACATTTGCCCATTACAATTTCTCAACATGTGCACCTCGTGTCACATGGCACACATTCAATCAATGCTCACTCAAATTCTTCCTATGCTTGCTGCAGCATGTTTATCATCACTCCTCCTGCAGTGGTCACAATTCTTCAGATCCTACTGAATACGCGCATTGCACGATGAAAAGTGGTTCTGACTTTGCAAACTGGAAAACACAAAATGCCTTTTCTGTCAGGGAATTGCTGCTTTCACATATGGTGCTTCCAAGAGGTGGTAGGTAATGAGACATTTGAATGCAGATGGGAGATGAAACTTGGACAATTACTCTATTGATTGGTGTACATTGTATACTTCTTTGATAATAATTAAATTTATGAAAATTAAACATATGTCATTTAATATTTTAGATATTTTATTATTATTATTAAACAGCTAGGTGTTAAATATATTTATTGTTTTAATCCAAAAACACAGGTTGCTCTTTTAGGAGGTGCTGATCAACAGTTACAAGAAGCTGCATTTCAGTATGGAAGGAACATGGGAATTGCATTTCAGGTATAGTTATAATTAGTATTATTTATTGACCAGATTAACATACTGTATTTAATAAAATATTAAATCTCAGCTGGACAAATATGTCAAGACAGTAAATTATAGTAGGGTAAATGATAGTTATGTTGACTGTCTACATCACTAAGTGGTAAGATTCACACATACGGTAGTAGTCAATTCACCCGACACCACAAAATTTTTTGCTTTTGCAAAAACCTACAAGCCAGGAAAATAGCTAAGATCCATACTAGACAAAGCTAGATCACCCACTTGTATATTAGAAAAGGAAAGAGAAATTCTTGACAGATTATGTAAAGGATTGAGTTCTCATATACAGTCTTGCTTCTGTGCATTATGTGATTTTTTTTTATTTGAGAAAGTGGAGTTGGCCTTGCAATGCCATAATCATATCCTAGAGCTCGCACATATATTATGTTACATATCATTTTTCAAATACAACAGTACAGAGTACCAATGGGGATTTGTGTAAGTTCATAATACATGCTCTTGAGAAGAAAGACTTACCTGAATTCCTATTGAATATCACACTGTACACCAGGTATGCAGATGACATTCTTATAATATGGAGATCAAAACCAAATATAGATAAGTTGGCCTTCAAATCCATATGGCCTCACCTTGAAGTTAGATCAATACAGTATTCATCAGCACACTTTTTAGATCTAAACAGCAATATCAATGAAGGCAGTATTATCATTAGTGTATATTATAAATCGGGATATATTTTATACTTTATACCTGTATGCTCCAGCAAACCATTCTTGTACAAGGTGGCAGCCTTCTGGGCTTTTGTAAGATGTGCATTCATATATTGTACAAATATATTAGACATTGTACAGGAACTCAAACATAGAAAGGGTGCAATAACACATGAATACTCAAGACAACTTGTATAGATTGGTGCAAAAATACATCCGTAATAACAGGTAGCAACCCTGTCAACACACTCCAGTAGAATCCAGACATATAATAGCTAACTATGATACCAGACTAAGATTGCTTTATGAATAAATAGTGAGGAATGTAGGTGCCAATCTCAGCTAGTGGCATAACAGCAGCTAGATTATATATACAAATTATTTTACAATAGTACAGATAGTATACATTTATCTAAGGCACTAGGGTGTATCATATCCAATCACTGACGAAAGATTTGATTGCATCCGGTTTATATTGACCCTACAAACAGATCAATAGCCAATAGAATAAAAGAACATAATACAACATTGAGAAGTGACAGGTTTATTTTGAGAAAAGTAAACCTGTCACTTCACTAGCCATATATGCCAGCAAGCCAAGGGTGAAAGCGAAACTTGAAGAAACAGAATTAATTAAGCAGAACTTTAACAAAGACCATATAAAAACAGAAATTCTGGACATTTTCAAAGCAAAAATGAAAAGAAACTGCATCATCATTATCCGTAATGTGGCAGTCATGTTACGACAACCCCAGAAGTGCAAAAGTGGTGGCCAAATATGACTTTATTATTGACCCTTTTATGTAGTAAATTTTTGTGTTATATGAAAATATAATTTTAATATTTGTAAATTAACTGATTTTGAATTTTATATACAATCTAAAGTTTTTTAAACTGGTGTATGTCATATAACTATTCACTGTTTCAAAATAGAACGCAGTATACATTACAGTTGACCCAGTGCTGGCCTATAAATCAGGCCAAAATGTTTGTTGAATTATTAAACAATGGTTGTCAGAAAGAAGAAAGTTATTTTTGATAATTTGCAAATGTGAATATGACAATCTCCTCTGATCATTTGTTCTACTTCCTGAATGTGAACATTGTTACAGGCCTATTAGTTCAATGCTCATCTTTCACACTATCTCTGCCTTCTGAGAACTGCTTGCACCTCTTTTGTATGCTGCATAAGCTCATGACATTTGGACCTTACACTTAGGTAAGCATGAGGTTCAAATGTCATGTACCAAAGTGTAAGGTGCTTACCTAAGTACGTACTTACATGTAGGTACGGTGTACTTATGGTGTAGACATCTTGTGGATCTCTACACCAGTCTTACCATTGAATTGTCAGTCTCATGTCTTCCACAGTCAGTGATTCAACCTTCCCACCAACACATTACAATGATATGGTGGGTTCATGTTCTGCAGGGAAATCTGGGAATTGGGTTGCTCTGATTATTTACAGAGGGTGCATAGATGTCGCGGTGGTATGTCATAAGGAGTATGTAGGTATATGATGATGCACGCATATCTTTTGCACATCAATTAGATTACGTTGCCAGGAAACTTACTTTTTGAACCACCTTCGTACATCAAAATCATAGAAGTCTGTTAATTGCTGACAATTTTTCAATAATTAATCCAAGTCAAATATATAAAACATTATTTCAAATTGTATGTCTAACTGCTCCTATGCATTAGTGAATATGCATTTTATGTATAATAGAGTACAGTCAGCTTATGAGCAAACAATTATCTGACAGCGAGCAACAAAATAAAATTTTCAGTTACTTAGTTTTGTGTGTGGTTGGCCACACTGACTTAAAGTGGTAAGAAGTAAATTACCAAGTGCATATTTCATTACACAAAACATGCACGAATTTGATTGTTTTTAATAAAGACCTTCTAATGTAGGAATCTAATAGCCAGGTAGCCTAGGTAATTAAGCAATCAGTCTGCTGCTCTGAGGAACCTGGAATCAAATCCAGGTAAGCAACCTTGGGAAAATTTTTATGGGCGGTCTGACCCAGATACGTCGCATTTCCTCCTCACCATGGACCTGACTGAACCCACAATGGATGTCGAAGGCCTTGTTAGCACTCACAGGATGGAGAGTCAAAATAAATAAATAAATATAGAAAGTCCAGAGTGGACCAGTTTTATTAATAGGAACAATATACATAAATCTGAAAGAAGAGAGATTTGCTGCTTCCCAGATAATTGTATTTTAGACACATTAGAGCAGGGATGTCATTTGTTTTTCATTTATTAATTACTTAATGTTCATCGCACATCACTTGCTCACTAGTCTAGTCATATCTTTAGTTATCAGAGTAATGGTAATTGCTTTGTTAGTTTTAAATTTGCTTAACAAGTTAATATGTAATAATATTTCAATAAGATTATGATTTCATGACATATTTTCAACTTTCCATAGATTTTTTTATTTTTTTGTTATTTTCTTGAAAATGCAGAAAAATAATTACATATAATGATATTTATGAATGATCTGTAATTATTGTAATAGTTGACTATTTGTTACACAGGAAAAAAAATGCAATGTTCTATTATTTACAAATGTTAAAATTAAGTAAAATCAGTGAATATATTAATTTTAATTTAATTAATTTGTTTTATATCATTTTATAAAATTATTATTATTAATAATATAAACCATTTGATATGCAAAAAGTATTAATCGAGCCTTTTTTTTTAAGTTGGTAGACGACATGCTGGACTTTATTTCAAGCCAGGCCGAGATGGGAAAGCCGGCAGCCACAGACTTGAGATTAGGTTTGGCCACGGCACCCGTGCTCTTTGCGTGCGAAAAGGTAAGGAGTTTTAGAAAATTTCATATATTTAAGGACCCCAACAAAAGTTAACAATTGTCTTCAAAAAATTAAAATTTTCATTCTAACTTGAAAATTCTAGTTGATTCAATTACAAATTAATCTTCAAGAAATCACTGTTTGGAGTGCTGTTACTATGAATTGCTAACATTTAATTAATGCAGTCTTTGTACAAGATAGTTCTAAGTTAAATTAATACAAAAAGTATTCGATCATAAATCTAAATGGCTGATTTACTTATTAACTTGATAATTAATCTGTATGGTTATATAATTTCAAATAACATACATCCAAAAGTGAAAATTAGATAAAGCTTCACAAGACTGGTAATGAATCTGCACCATAAGATGTTACAGGTTATAGTCTTGCTCTGGATTAGTTTTCCAGAACTTTTTACAATAATTTAATTAAATTCAAAATTAATTTATTAGTGTAAATAATTATTTGGGAGCTGGTATATTATTAATTAGAAACAAATGTGTAGAAGCTTATCAAGCTAACTGTAAACCAAGTAAACACAAATACTATTTGATTTTAATTCAATAATTTGTATCCATTCTGTACAAATGCATTTTAACATATCGTTCTCTTCATTTAAAATGGATATGAAATTAAGAAATTATTTAAATTAATTGTATATTATTACAAAAAGATTGTAAGAATTTGTCTCCATTCCAAGAGGTAATTTTTAATAACACTTGTGGAGCCATCGAAGTTACTTGAATAAGGAGTGGAAACACTCATAAGTCGAAACTAAAATCTATTTATTTAAATACAGTTATTGAAACTTCTAAACTCAAACAGAATATATAAAATGCCATTCTTCAATTTTGATAATCTTCCATTAATCTTTCAAATGCTTTTGAGCTTTAAATTCTCATTGTTGAGGATTGATATTCTTTATATTTAATATCATTATTATTGTTGTTGTTAAAATATTAACGTGAATGTAATCTCCTCTGCCTATTTCCCATCAAATAGAAAGTATGGGGTATTTGAGGGGAAATACAACAGGCAGAGCAGCTTACATTTCATGTGCTTTTCTTTGATATTTTTCTTGTGTAAACAGCACTACATTTTTGAAATATTTACCAATGTCCAATATCTTTTTCTCTAGTTTCCAGAATTAAACCCAATGATTATGAGAAGGTTTTCTGAAAGAAGGGATGTTGAACGGGCCTACGAAGCTGTACTTAAGGTAAATTTTTTTTAATTAAAGTAATTTTGAAATGTAATTTCTGATTTTTAGATACTATACTAGTTCTATAACCAATAAGTTTATAAGAGTAGTATTTGTTTTATGAGAAGTGATTAATGATTTTCATTTGCAGTCAGTGTTTCTATATCATAATTAATTTAGAATCACTCAAAATATTTGAGTGGATTGTAAGGCACAACAGAGCTTATGTTTTGCATATTCATACAATTTTCTTGTAGGTAGGACATCACAAATCATTGCAATTAATTCATTCCTCCCTACACTGTTTTAACAACCAATAGCATATTTATCATAATTTACATTTAGGATTTCAGTCCAATGTAAATACTGAACTTCAAATATTCTGATATTTTCACTTATTAAGAACAATCACACTAGTTCCTGCTTTATTGGAATGTACATGTGCACAAAAAATTTCTGAATAAGCTCTTACATCTTTGCTTGTGGAAGCTTGAAAGCTACTAGAGACTATTTAAAGCTGTTTCTTGCATGTAATATGTTATATAAAGCAGGAAATAATGTGGTGTTGTTGTTTATCAGAAATTGGACATTTAATATTTAGTAGTTTAACTTATCTTTTAAATCAGGGTGATGGCAATTTTTTTGAGAAGAGGAAGTCTTTCTGTAAGTAAAATGCTTTTATGCAACACACACAATGACAATTTGATTTACCAGAAGTATTTTCATGCATAAAAATGGAAGTTAAACCAACTACTTTTGATAAACACATTATTGTCTTTGGGTGTACTGAATGAAAAATAGTGAAAATAAAATGAGAACAATTTCAGCTGCAGTAGACATTGTTAATTCTATCTATGTAAAAATCAAATGTTCAGTCTTACGTGATATTTTATATTAGTTTGTTTTCTTTTTATTTAATTTAAAGATTGGAGCACCTATGACGATGATGCATTAATTATTGAACGTACACTGACAGAATGGAAGTTAGTTGTTACATTATGAAAATTTACACAGATTTCCATGTAAATTGGCACACAAAAGACAGCTGATTAAAGTGAAGACTTAATCCTAAAGCACTTACAGATGCAAATGGCAAAAATTAGTAAGAAGTGTGACTGCTATTATTACAAATGTACTGTTGTATTTTGCTAATAATGAATCCTAGTTTTTGATGGAATCTTTAGCAATGTCTCTTTGTGCCTGCATGCTCAGTTCCTTGAGCCAGTGCCCATCAAGTTCTAGTGTGAACCCAATGGGCATTAGACTGAATAAGCATTTTTATAGCATGCCAAACATTTTCAATTGGAGACAGAGATTTTGCTTGATATTCTATTGTTTCAGTATCTCTCAAGGTTTGGACATTATCACATTGAAAATACTACTTTGAATTGTCAACATAAAGGGGTATAATTGGCAGATTTACTATTTTGTATATGATGAATGTTGCAGAGCATTTGTTGTATCCAAAGTAATCGCATTTGACCTTTTTGTACTTTTTGTATATGCAATCATTCCCAAACCATGATTCTAGATGTTGCAGATATATGCCTCTCTGTAGTTAAATCTGGATGACACCTTTCTCTGCTCTTTACAGGACATGTTGACAATAATCACTTTGTCCCAGACAGAATCTGGATTTATCATTGAGTACTATTCTTTGCTTGTTGACTATAGTCCGGTTCATTCTAGCTCTATACTGGGCTAGTTTTTGTCTGCAATGACCTCAAGTATTATTTTACTTGATATTGCATAGTAACCCTTGATGTTAAGCTAGTCTCATGCAGTCTGTTTCCAAATGTTTGTGTTGATGCTACTTTTACAAATTGATCAGATTTTGGCTGCAGTCATTCATCTGTAGGATTGTTTCTATGGTTATCCTTATGTTGTGCCTTTCTGAAAGGTTCTTGCACTACAACTGACTAAGAAATATGAAAGGATGCATCCCACAATTTGACCTTTCTCAAAGTCTGAGTAGTGTTTATAAAGAGCTCTAACTTTACATCATGGAATATCACTTCATAAACAATTTAAAAAACACACAGTACAAAAACGTAAATGTAAATGAAATTATTCACATCACAAAAATGACACTCATTCAATATTCTTCCCATATTTTGTTTGAATGGAAAGTTGTAATGAATGCACCAGTTGATCAAATGTAGTGATGATGAGTATTAAGTGTGCTGAGTTTCACAAAGAACCTTTAATGTTTTCGTGGCATAACATGATTCATTTCTGTCGGTGTATCTAAACTAAGTGTAAGAGGAATAGTCTAAAAATTGAACACTGTTACAGCATATGTACTGTACAGTTAACCCTTAATACATATGGTTAATTGGTTCCACAAATATACTGCATATATCAAAACCACACAGTTTGATAAATTTATGATTTATCATACTGAAATGTATCTAAAAGACTGCAGAAAAATTAACTGCATAGAATTGTCATTGCAGAAGGACTTTCTGATTAAGACCCCTCTGGTTGCCGACAATCTTTTAAAACGCTGGTCCTGGGTAAGGTCACAAGAGAAATACAGTAGAGCACGGGTTCCCAACCTGTGGGTCGCGACCCAGAAGGGGGTCGCGACGGGCTTTCTGTGGGGTCGCCAACTTATACAGTTAACTAAAAAACATGTTCACTATAATGCAATTTTTATTTTTAATGGTGTCTTGAAGTTTGAATAATTTGATATACAGTCGACCCCCTATAACACGGGTTCCTATAGTTCGGATTCTTATATGACGGCGAAAAAATTGCGACGGTATCCGTACAAACTTGGTAAAAAAACTCCTATAATTCAGTAAAACATCATCGGGCAGCGGAACTACTTTCCGCTGTCCAGCGCCACGCTACGGAGAGTTTAGGCGGGTAAATTGAGTTTACTATCGTCTGTTTATATATAAATTAGGTACTGTATATATAATTATATATTAACTTAATTTATTATAACTTTATTATAATTATATATATACTTTCCGCCGTCCAGCGCCACGCTACGGAGAGTTTAGGCGAGTAAGTTGAGTTTACTATCGTCTGTACAGTATGTAAATTAGGTACCG